TTCTACTTACAACAGCCTTTTCCACTTCTGTGCTTCTCTTTCTTGGTAAACCTGCTCTCATATTCAATATTAACTTTTCTTTCCCTTAGCCATTCTGCCTTTAAAGCATCTTCACTCTTAATTCCATATTGTTCTTGCTGTTTATTTTTTATAACCTCCCCCCAGAGACCTCTCTGGCATGCAGCCTTGCAGCATCCCCCAGAGCCACTAAGCCCCAAGAACCTGTCCAGAAGTAGCAAAAGTCATGGTCCTGCCTCTGGAGGCACCCTCACAACAAGGGAGGGCCAGGACACAGGTATCAGCAATAATGTATGCCAGATAAAGCTAACTGCCAATGTGCTGTGCATGTTTATTGTGTGGTGTGCTGCCTCCTTGGGCCTGGGCAATTAAATATTCTGTATGTCACACTTCCCATTCGTGAAATTACTTGAGAAGGTTATTCAGTGTGAGCTGCATGAGATGGACCAATCTGAAGAGCTATGGAAATGCTAAGTCACAGATTTAACAAAGGGTTGGTGGAGCAGAATTATGTGCTCATGGCTGTGTTACTCACTGATTTATTGCTAACAAACAGCCAGTCTTTATTTTCAATTAAATGCACATCTGTCCCTTATCTGGCTTCTCTCTCTGTAAACTTTGACTACCATCTGTATTGTAAATGCTTGTGAAACAGAAGATGAAGAAGCCAGGAGGCTTCTAGAATGGGAGGATGAATGAAAGAGACAGATCATGTGAATTATCTCAGCTGAAGCCATAAAATGTAAGTGACTTGGGAATGTCCTGTGTGTCTGGTTTTGGACCATAAAGGCAGCCTGGAAAGGACACCATTTATCTGCATTAGTCTCTGTAACAAGCTTAGCAGTCTTTGCATGCTTGAAACTGTCGATTTATCATTATTACTGTAATCTTGAAAACAAAAGGCCGAATAACAAAAAGCATCCCAAAGCTACAACCATAGCTGCATTTGCACAAATAGATTAATTTCAATTCCCAATTAGTAGCTGAACTAGTTGCTGTAAAAATATTTCAGCTTTGTTTCCCCATACATCAACCCATGCAACGGCTCCCTGGCTCACTGTAGAGGCACTTGCTGCTGTCTGCATCTCTGATACACATAGGTCTGGGCTATGAGCTCAGTTAATTAGTATTTTAGGATAAAGAGCTCAGCAAAAGCACTGGAGGAAAGAGCCTCTGTCACAGCCAGCTCTGGTTCTGAATTATACCTTTAAAATTCATTTGTGAATAACTGATCAAATTGACTAACTCTGGCCTTTCACTTTCTCAGAAGACTGATTTATTCCATTCTAAGCCATAAAGTCTTCTAAAATCAGTGAAGAAGAAAAAGCCACAGGAAGTTGTGGCACTTGTTTAATCAATATTTTGTTGTTAATTATTTTGAATAAGTAGCAGAATACAGAATCTGTAACAGACAGGTAGTACTATTGCACTTTGCACCATAACAGGTAAAGACTTGTCATTAACAAAGAACTTGACAGTTGCTGCAGGACCAGTGCTTACCAACAGTCAAAAGACAGTCTTGGTGTATAAAGGCTAGATTTAGAAAGGCAAATGTACTAAAACTTGTGAGAGGGTCAGGTGGGGAATGAAAATGTAGCCAGTCAAAAATGAATGGAAATTTTTTGACAGAAGAACTGTTGTGAATTGTCAATGTGGTGCAATTTCACAATCAAGAAAAAGGAAGGCAACTATTAAAATCTGTTGGGATGTGAACACAGACATTAAAAAGCAGTATACGGAAAGCAAAGTGGAGAAGGCAACCCATGCATTTGCACATGCACTCCTATACAAAGCTAAAGCTATTACAGACAGTGGTATGTTTGGCAAGATTAGGAACAATAAATACATTAAGTGCGTTGATAATGAAACAAATTCTCAAGATGATGTAAGCCTATTATTAGTATTTTATTGTATATAATACTGTATATGTATTAGTGCACAAAGATGGTGGCATTATAAGTGATACTGAAGTTGAGATATGTTTGATAAATATCTATTTGTACCTGGAGAGAGCAAAATTAATGTCATCTTAGAAGACAGATAATAGATTTTCCAGGCCATTAGTAGCAGCAGAGAACACCAGGCAGTATTTTCTATAGACAAATGTGTTAAAGCAAGAGCTCAAATAAGCATCACTCCAGGGTTCCACTAAAGCTGGCTAAAGTGGTCCCTGGTATGTAGATACTCATTTTTAACATGTCTAGGAACACCATGGAAATAGAAGAGGAGACAGCTAATATTGTGCTCCCATGGAAAAAAGAGGGTTGGGTGGTGACAAGAATAGGCTGGTGAGCCTGACATCAGCACCAGCCAAAAATATTAACTGCTCCCTTTCCTTTTTTCACTCCTGACCTTTTTTCTTTTTGGACACCAGCCCAGTGCCCTTGAAGCAACCTTCTGTTTTCCTATACATCAGAGTTGGAGCCCAGTTCCCACTGAGGTCCATGTGAGCCCAAATGGCATTCCAGCAACCCTGCCCTTCTAAATATGTCCCACTGCAATGGAGCATTTGGTCCCTGAAAAGACCCAGGAAAGCAGCTGGCCTGGTATGCAACAACATCACACAAATCTGAGAATCATCCAAGGGGCAAGAGTGCCAGCTGATAGATTTAAATAGGGTCCCGGCCACAAGGAATCAGAAGGTCATAGGCATGATCTGAAGAGCAGTAATGTCTGACCCAGGGAAGGGTTCACATGTAGGACAGAAGTCTGGCACTGGCTTCTTCCATATTAATAGTGTGCAGACAGCAGCAAGAACTGCCAATATTCCCTATATGTTATGTTGTCTACTATTATTCCATTCTTGAGTTATCTGCTTATTCTATTTTATTTTGTTTTGTTTCAAATATTCCTAGTACCTCCTTCAGCCAGAGACTTTGCCAGAAATGCTCCCTGCAAATTACAAAGCTGTAGAAATAATAGAAACAGGACGGGACTTCCATAGGTAACAGTAAGAGCACAACAGAGTCTCTGAAACTGACCATGGAGACCATCATAGAATCATAGAATCACTACAGTAGGAAAAGGACTACTAAGATCACCTAGTCCAATTATCAGCCAATCAACATCATACCACTAAACCATATCCCTCATGCCACATCTCCACATTTCTTGAATACCTCTCTGAGCAGCCTGTTCCAGTGCATGACCACTCTTTCAGAGAATAAATTTTTCCTAACATCTAACTTGAACCTTCCCTGGCACAACTTGAGGACATTATCTGTCATCCTATTGCTGTAACCTGGGAGAAAAGGCCAACCTCCATCTTGCCACAACCTCCTTTCAGGGAGCATCCCCAGAGCATCCTCTTCTCCAGACTGAACAATCTCAGCTCCCCCATAAAACTTGTACTCCAGACCCTTCCTAGCTTCAATGCCCTTCTCTGGACACTCTCTGAGGTTTTAATGTCTATCTTGTAGTGAGGGGCCCCCAGACTGAACACAGGAAGTGTGATCTCACCAGTGATGAGTATAGAGGGATGGTCATCTCCCTAGTCCTGCTGACTACAGTATTGTTCATACAAGCCAGGATGGTGTTGGTTTTCTTGGCCACCTGGGCACACTGCTGGCTTAGGTTTGGTCAGCTGTCAACTAACGCCCCCTGGATCCTTTTGTGCCACATTGCTTTCCAGCTGCTCCGCCCCAAGCCTGCAGCATTGCCTAGGGTTATTGTGACCAAAGGGCAGGACTCAGATCCTGGTCTTGTTGAACCTCATATAGCTGTCCTGAGACTTGTTGAGCACTTCCATTAGCTTCAGCGAGACCTGGACAGGCTGGAGAGCTGGGCAGTAAGAAACTGGATGAGGTTTAACAGAAGCAAGAGTCTTGCATCTGGGGAGGAATAATTGCATGCACCAGTACAGGTTGGGGGATGACCTGCTGGAGAGGAGCTCTGCAGAGAGGGACCTCGGTGTCCTGGTGGATGACAGGTTGGCCATGAGCCAGCAGTGTGCCCTTGTGGCCAAAAAGGCCAATGGCATCCTGGGGTGCATTAAAAAGAGCGTGGCCAGCAGGTCGAGGGAGGTGATCCTCCCCCTCTACTCTGCCCTGGTAAAGCCTCATCTGGAGTACTGCGTCCAGTTCTGGGCTCCCCAGTACAAAAAAGACAGGGATCTCTTGGAAAGAGTCCAGCAGAGGGCCACAAAAATGGTGAGGGGCCTGGAGCATCTCTGCTATGAAGAAAGGCTGAGTGAACTGGGTCTGTTCAGTCTTGAGAAAAGGAGACTGAGAGGGGACCTGATCCAGGTCTATAAATATCTAAGGTGTGGGGGGCAGAATGGCGAGGCCGGACTCTTTTCAGCAGTGAGTGGAGACAGGACAAGGGGAAACGGCCAGAAACTGCAGCATAGGAAGTTCTGCACAAATGTGCGCAAGAACTTCTTTACAGTGAGGTGACGGAGCACTGGAACAGGCTGCCCAGGGAGGTGGTGGAGTCTCCTTCTCTGGAGATGTTCAAGACCTGCCTGGATGCCTACCTGTGCGACCTGCTGTAGGGAACCTGCTTTGGTAGGGGGTTGGACTCGATGATCTCTGGACGTCCCTTCCAACTCCTACAATTCTGTGATTCTGTGATTCCTCAGTACCCTCGTGTAGATTCCATCCAGACCCACAGACTTTCGATAGTCAAGGTGTATCCCTATCTTATGTTCTGACTAATAAAAACAGGTGTATTATATGAATATTACAGCTGCAAGATGTGCGGGAAGATTCATTTTTTGTACAAACACTGATATGGATTGTAGGAAAATAAACTTGAATAAGAAACTAAGTAATCAAGCTTGTCTTCTGAGCACAGCCTGGGCTGAATCTGCTTATGTGCTCTTTCAGCCTACTCATCTGCAGGGTTCAGACTCAGTATATGAACTTCACTTCCAGCTATCAGCTTGTACAAATCTGTGACACAAACCAGCCTACAAGATATGCTTGATGGCCCACGTGGCTTGGGTGTATCATCATAACAGTTTCACTTTCCTTACTTTACAGATCACTTTGCACAGACAAGAAAACTGAAAAGGAAAATGATACAAACACTGATCCGAGACAAGTTAACAATGAACAAACTGAATTACCCTTGACAAAGAGAATCTCAATAAAGAGAAGGTAAAAAACACCACATGGTTTCCAAAAACACATTATTTTCCTGGGCAGAAAGTTTGAATTTTACATATATAAGTGAGTTAGAAATTCTGCAGTCAGTGAAACTACATCTCACAATGACCAGTGACCCCTAAAATCTAAGATGGATGAAGGATGCTCACACAGTTCTTATTGCAATTGTTTTAAAGATCCTGGATGCAGACTCTAGAGGACTAGTAGGATGTAATTTTTCATGAAAGAGTCCAAAGACAAAAGCCAATAACTTCATTTTCTTCAAAAATTAAACTGAAGGTAATCTCTCTGCTTTGATTACGAATACAGGGTTCAGGGGAGGAGGAGAACTGGCCAGTCACATTACACATGGGGTCAAAGGATAGACATGAACTCCTGCTGCTATCAGCTACAAGGAAATATGGGATCCTGTGCATCATACAATCAAGAGAAAGCATTCCCTTGGATAGCATCATCCTGGCCAGTCCTTTCAAGGCAAAAGGAACCTTACTCGCTAGCTAGTCCACAAGAAAATGAGGAAAACTGCATGTAATTCCAGTACAGTATCAGCTAAATATCTCATCCTTACATGGTAAGCTGGCAATGCCTCTGTTGTTGCTTCTATTATCTCCATAAGCAGAGGACCACTAATGTTGTTATGACCTCTTAAGTGTCATCACTTAAATAAGTCATTTGACTAAGAGATGTGCATTAGAAATGTAAAGTCTTAATGCTTTCACTCACCCATAGCTGATCAGCAGTGAGTGAGCATTTTCAAAATTTTTGTGTAAGATCACATTTCCTGGTTGATGGCTGAGGGCACATAAGCTAGACAGGCTTCTTTATTTTAATAAAATCAGTTGATGTTATCTGGATAGGATTTCTCATCTATCAACTGATGCTAGCAAGACATTCCTAGCTTTAATAGCAGTAGCTGCAATTTCTGAATATTGTTTGTGGCAGGCTTGTCAGCAAACGTCTGGTTCAATTTATGGAAGAATACTGTGTCAACAATGGGAATTTATTGTTTCCTACACTTCCTGCCTTCTGCTGTTGTTGGTATGTAATACTTTAAGAGAAAAAAACTGTTCAAAATGTAAAGTTCTGAATGAATCTGGGGTCACACATTTATCACCACAAGCACTATATAGTGTTAGTTATTTAATTCAAATAAAGTCATTGCAAAGCTATTGAGATGATGTGTATATCGACTTGTAAGGCTGTAAAGACTGAAACCCAGGGGATTCCTCCTACTAGCCTTCTGAATAACTCAAAGTCCGTCCTCCGAAAGTCCAAGGTAGCAGTTTTGCTGTTCCCCCTCCTGGCTCCACCAAGAATCGAGAACTGTACCATTTCATGGTCACTCTGTCCACAACAGCCCCCAACTTCCACATGTCCCACCAGACCTTCTCTGTTTGTGAACAGCAGGTCAAGCAGGGCAGCTCCTCTTGTTGGCTCTCTCACCAGTTGCATCAGAAAGTTATCCTCCATGGACTCCAGAAACCTTCCTAAACTGCTTCTTATGCGATCATCTTCTGAATCTGCTCCAACAACGTCCTTCTTATGACAGGGGCTCCAGAGCTGAATGCAGTATTTCAGGTGGGTTCTCATGAGAATGGAGTGGGGGGTGAGCAATCACCGCTTTTGACCTGCTAGCCACGCTTCTTTTGATGCAGCTCAATTGACTTTCTGGGCTGCAAGTGCATATGTTAGGTTTTATAGCAGCCAACAGCTCCAAGCTCTTCTTTGGAGGACTACTCAGTCTATTTTCCACCCAGTCTTTATCTGTGCTTGGGATTGCCCCAAGTAATTGACAGCAGTCTCACTTGACAATAGAAAGAGAAGCATAACAAGGGTAATAATTTAAGTCTGACCTCATGAGCATGGTGTTGCTGTAGACAGCATAATTTCCATGCCGTGCTTGAGAACTTACCACAGGGCAGTCTGAAATGAGGGTTCCAAGTTGTACAAGCTCTCAGGCTGTGGGCTTATTCTCTGCAGGAAGATTCATCTTTGCTCTAAGACTAACAGTCAGGTACTGATTGCAGATCTAGCTTCTAGCAGTCCCCCTCAGATTTGTTTGTTCTTTTGGAAGGAGTTGACATTTGCTTTTTGTGGCTTCATGTTAAAACTGGTGGCGAACTCTGACTGGAATATAGCACCAGAAAGCAAACAGCTCTTGGTGAAACAGTAGATACATCACTGCAGCCCATGTCATGAAATGGTAACAGACTGCTGGGCAAAATTTCTGGTGAAAAAAAAATGATACTAAAAAATGGGTGTAAAAGTTGCAAGGAGCTCTGACTCTTTTCATACATTATGTGATACAATAGAAATATATAGGAAGAAAGATGCAAAGGGAAAAAACAGGTCATCCAGAAATGATATAAAAAGTCATACTTTTAAGTGGTGGCGTGATAATATTCTCTTATATGGCACTACTGTAGTGAGACTATTGGAGCAGATGCTGGATTCACAGAACAGATCAGGGTAGAAACTGAAGGAAGGAGGCAGAGGACATGTGGTGGATGAGGGAATCCAGGTCTTTGAGGATTGCTAGTCCCTTACGTACTGGTACATCGACTTGTAAAGGAGATTTCTTTGAACTGGGAGGAGCTCGTATTATATTTCAAGCTGAGAAAAGAAACCTTACACCAAATTATCCCTTGCAGAAAGTGTAAGGTAAGTCAATTTTAACACAGCTGTAAAACATACCCAGGGAAAAATGTTTTGCTATCTTGGTTGATTTTAAGAGCTTTTTAATAATTTGAAGGCTTTAAACAATGTGAGGTATAAATGGGAGCCCGTGAGGAAAAAATTTTACTTGGAAAAATAAAAGTGTAAAAGCTATCTGACCTCCATCCTGCTGTTTTGCTCTGAAAATGAGAAGATATCAAAACTACACAGAGGAGCTAAAAGGGAAGGTTTCCCCTGAGCAGATACCTGTTTCAGGCTGATTGTCTCATGCCCATGTTTTTTTTTGCATGTTAATAATAAAGCATTCTGCTCAAATGATCATACTCGTGTGTAAATTGACTTAAATTAATAGGGAGAAAAGCTTCTTCATGAACGCTTGAAATGGGAAGGACCAAATGAATATTTTTATAGCCATCTTCTAGCCCCTCCCTTTTTTCCCCAGAGCAGGAAGCTTGAATGTCCAGAAGGGACTTTTCTGGAGCATTGTAGGGTCACGGACCAATGCTCAGAGGTCACAAAGCTAAGAGAAATCATCTGGAATCCCAAGGACATCTAGAATAGAAATAATGAACTTACTTTATCATGGGCACTGCCATCAACTGCATGTATGGTTGCGTCCCACTCAAAGGCAAATATCTTTTCATGGAAGGATATAAGAAGAAAGCAAATAGCTCCTTTCCCACACGATAGGGATAATTTAAACAAATGCATTCATTGAAGCTAAGAAACATCTTGAACAAAATTCATGTTATGAAACTGTAAAAACACCACAGCTGGATCTTCTGCAGAGTAAATGCTGTATCTCTTGGATTGCTTCCTCTGCCCATCAAATCCATGCAAAGTGGGATGAGGTTCCCACAGACTACATCAATTTCAGTTGGTTTGGACTTTACTTCTTCAATTCTGTGGCCTCCTGTGGTAGCTAACTATTTGGGTCAGCTACCAGCTGTGTGAAGGCCTGCCTTTTATTCGTTTTAAATTTACCTGCTGGCTGCAGCATCTATAATCAAGTGCCAGAAGAATGGAAAGAAAGTGTAATGCATATTGGTTGTTACCTGGAGTTGCTATGGAGACAAGATGGGTCTGGAGAAGAAAATCAGAGAGGAGTCCTGCTAAAAACCATCACTGTGTGTATGAGGAAGGAAGGGTCCCCAGAGGAGTGCTGAAACCTCAGGATAATAAAGGTGGGAATATCCCAGTAAGTGGGTGATATACTGGGAATATCTGATTATAAAATTCTAGGAATATCCCAGGTAAGTAATAAAGATAAATGATTATCCCAGGTAAGTAATAAAGAGATTTACGAGAATCCTGAAAGTGTGAATCCTTCACGCTTTTAGTGCTGGTGTTACCTCACCTTGAATACTGTGTGCAGTTCAATATAAAAAGGATGCTAAGATATATGAAAGTGTCCAGAGCACAGCAACAAAGCTGGTAAAAGGGCTGGAAGGCATGTCTTATGAGAAGAAACTGAGGAAATGTGAATTCACCTGACTGAAAAGGCTGAAAGGTGACCTCACTGCTCTGCAAATCTCTAGGGAGAGGAAGCAGAGGGAGGTACCAGTTTCTTTCAGTAACTGATGTCAGAATTCCTGGGAATGGCACAAAGCTGTGTCAGGGGAGGTTCTGTCCAGACATTAGAAAACATTTATTTACTGTGAGGGTGGTCAGACATGAGAACAGGCTTCCAAGAGAGGTGGTTGATGCCTCATGGCTGTCAGTGTTTGAGACATTTGGATGAAGACCTTAGTTATATACTTTGTCTTTGATTGGCTCTGGTCAGGCAGTTGCATTTTATGATATCTGAAGATCCCTTCCAACTGAACTGAACTGTTGTGCTCTATTCTATTCTATTCTATTCTATTCTATTCTATTCTATTCTACTCTACTCTACTCTACTCTACTCTACTCTACTCTACTCTACTCTACT